ACCTAAACTGATTTAAAAGTATTGTAAGAAATAGTAATAGATGACAAGTTTATAATCTTTAAAAAAAAATCATTCAATACAAACACATCATATTGTGTATCATACAAAGCACACCCAACTTTGCTAGCCTAGTACGAACAGTTCACAATTATGTTGGCTTGCATGATCCAATAAGAGCATTTTCTTCTAATAATATACTATATTTCCTCCTTCTCAGGTGGTTTCTGTAACATGCAGTCATTTCAAGAGCCATGATCATTTTCCTTTTTATTCATGCTAAGCCAGTAAAGTTAGATGTACTCTTTGTGGTATAAACTTTATTTTGCTAAAAGTACATGCACTAACAACTACATTTTAGTTTAGTAATATAAAGTCAATTTAAACCAATTTGGCAAATGATTTTTGACCATTTATATAAACATGCAAAATAAAGAATTATTTAATTTGTATTTCTCTCGAGTATAAAATAATAATAACAATGATAATAATAATAATAATAATAATAGTGGGTAATCGTCTGTCAGACTTGACACTTCTGGGGCTCCACAATTATTATCACGGCTGTAGTATAGATGCCATTATAGCCCTCTAACATTTCAAGGAATTTATTCCTGCCAGGTACCCATTTACTTCACCTGGGTCGAGTGTGGCAAAAGTAGATTAATGTCTTACCAAATGTAGTACCACAAAAGGACTTGAATTGCGAACCATGTGATCTACAGACCGGTGACGTATCCACTAGAACATGACGCCTCCAAAATATAGCACAATTATGTAAATGCCTAGCCAAGACTGCATAATGAAATAATGCACACTCTATATCAACACTTCCGGCATGATGTTGAATGATAAAAAATAGATAGCAGTATCATCATTACCATATCTTATGCATTTTAAACGCACAAATGTTCCCTTTCGTCTGCTTCCTTTCACCAAGATTGTTAATATTTGAAAAAATATTTGGCTAAAGCTCGGAAAGCAAATATTACATGGCACTTTACATAGTACATACACTCAATGTGAAAAAAGCAGCTGCTAGCTTGGTCAGATATACATGTATTTCATGGTGTCAGCTGGGCTGTCAATTGATCAAAACACTTAAAGTATCAGAAACAAAGAAAGAAAAATACAAAAAGCAAAAGAACAACAATAATAAATAGCACTATAAACAAGAGAAAGCAATTACACAAAAAGAAAAGATAAACTAAGATGGAATGACTGTTATAAGTACTGTTCATGATATCAATTGTTGAGAAGTATAAACAAAGCACAGAAATAGAAACAGTGTGATATTTCAATGATATACCTGTAGCAGAATGAAACAGTGTACACTTAAAGGGAGAAAGGCAATGCATAGTCCGCCATCTTGGTAATTGAGTTTGGTCATTTTCAGTACTGCACCTTTACATTCTAATGCATTTGAAACTAGTCTTACATGGGATCCTCAACACGTCCCTGGCAAACTATCCCCTCCATTGAGCCAGAAGGACATTAACTTTAAGAGTTAATGACCTTCTGGTTTTCAAAAGGCAGGACGATAGAGAAACCGATTCTAACTTATTTCGATACCTCCAAAGTGGAAAGGTCATCTATTTTCAAATGAGTACCCATCACAAAGAAAATACTTATACATGTGCAATGAATTCTCTTCAGAAAGGTGATTTGTCTTCATGGTTTAGATACGTATCACTTATCAACTATATTTTGATACCTCCAACATGTAAAGGTCATCTATTTTCAAATGAGTACCCATCACAAAGAAAATACTTATACATGTGCAATGAATTCTCTTCAGAAAGGTGATTTGTCTTCATGGTTTAGATATGTATCACTTATCAACTATATTTTGATACCTCCAACATGTAAAGGTCATCTATTTTCAAATGAGTACCCATCTCAAAGAAAATACTTATACATGTGCAATTAATTCTCTTCAGAAAGGTGAGTTGTCTTCATGGTTTAGATATGTATCACTTATCAACTATATTTTGATACCTCCAACATGTAAAGGTCATCTATTTTCAAATGAGTACCCATCACAAAGAAAATACTTATACATTATGTGCAATGAATTCTCTTCAGAAAGGTGATTTGTCTTCATGGTTTAGATATGTATCACTTATCAACTATATTTTGATACCTCCAACATGTAAAGGTCATCTATTTTCAAATGAGTACCCATCTCAAAGAAAATACTTATACATGTGCAATTAATTCTCTTCAGAAAGGTGAGTTGTCTTCATGGTTTAGATATGTATCACTTATCAACTATATTTTGATACCTCCAACATGTAAAGGTCATCTATTTTCAAATGAGTACCCATCACAAAGAAAATACTTATACATGTGCAATGAATTCTCTTCAGAAAGGTGATTTGTCTTCATGGTTTAGATATGTATCACTTATCAACTATATTTTGATACCTCCAACATGTAAAGGTCATCTATTTTCAAATGAGTACACATCACAAAGAAAATACTTATACATGTGCAATGAATTCTCTTTAAAAAAGTGAGTTGTTTTCATGATGTAGAGACGTACAATTTATCAACTATATTTCAATACCTCCAAAGTGAAAAGGTCACATCTATTTTCGTATGAGTGCACATTACAATGTAAATGGTTATACATGTGCAATTAATTCTCTTCAGAAAAGTGAGTTGTCTTCATGGTTTAGAGACGTACATCTTATCAACTATATTTTGATACCTCCATAGTGAAGAGGTCACATCTATTTTCGTACGAGTACACATTAAAATAAAAATGGTTATACATGTGCAATTAATTCTCTTCAGAAAGGTGATTTGTCTTCATGGTTTAGAGACGTATAACACATCAATATGATGGCGCAATGCAACTAGCTCCATCAGCCTCATAAAAACAATACAGGCATTTTAAAATGGACTTTCTTCCACTGTAGATGAGTTTCACTAAGCAAATGTCATTTCAACTTTTGAGCTGGTCTTGAGTCGGTGTTTAAGTTGACTTTAATTGATTGATAAGCACATATCCACATGTTTGCATTAAAATATAAATTCTATAACATGCATGATCAACAATTTTGAACTTAAGTGAGTGTATACATTGTTTTATATTAGCACTATCATTACTGTCAGTGAATGCGAGTTTGTAATACTAATTGTACTGTTTTATGCAGCCACTAAAACAACACAAATCTTAATTTGCATAAGAAGTCAATACTAAATGCATTCTTTAAGCACACATTTGACAATTACAAATCTCACACCATGGATAATCCCAAAGCTCTGAATATTTGCTGTTTATGGATAGTGTTGCATAGAATTACAGAAAATACATGATATTATTTTCTCACTAACCTTAAACTGCCCTGAATAGTTATGTTGTAAATTCCACAAACTTAATAAAACTTGGCAATTTGAGTGTAAATTGACCATTCCCCATAAGAGAATATCACATACAAAGAATTTCACCAGTATCAAATCAAAACTACTTTTGCATAAATCAACTCACAAAAGACGATGTATAAAATTCTGATTTTTTTTTTGGTTCTTCAATAAGAGATCACTTTGGTGATGTTATACCATATTCTATGAAAACACAATCAGAGTTGTAGACTGAGATGTCCAGTACAAAACGCTTCTAATTAATGTGACTTACCAATAAAACAATAAGATACCCTGACCTAGTTGATATATACACTCTTTTCATTTGTTGTTTACATCCTGCAGCTGCTAGTACTAATCTATATAATCAACATATAACATTCATATTAGCATAATTTAATTAATCACATTGCATATTATTGACCATTACTTACGTTTCCATTCCTTACAACTGGACATGATTTGTGCAATTTTCTTTGAGCATGCCAAAAGTGACAATCTGCCTACCAGTACTACAATTATGACATTTATATATGTATGAATGGTATTCACAAAATATGATATGAAAAATAATATGGTTTAAAAAAACACACCAAAATAATAGAAAAATTTCTCACACATGTTCAATATATTTCTCTGATATAGTCTGTACAACAATTTGAATCAGTTTTAAACCGAGTTGTCTTATATAAATGCTAACAATCTACCTAGCTTGCATATCACTTTCATTACAAGTGTTATTAATTTTTGCATGGTACTTTTAAAACAAAACGAAGAGATTGATAAGTGCATATATTTCTTAATAGAGCTATTTAGCTTCATTTATATTGCAATGCAGTTGTGATATAGACAAAACATTCTACAACATTCTAAAAAACACTATTAGTGTTACATAGGACAAAATTTCGATTTTACACACACAAGCATCTTAACAATCCAATCCATTTAGCAAATAACCCTTTATTTGTATGCATAATTTGCTGTACATCATGAATATAATATGTATTTCATGTGAAAAATCTGTTGCACAGTAATGTAAAGAATGGTTATCATATTTGAAAAATAATGATTTTGGTTTCTTTATATGGAGCACTTATATCTACAACCAAAGGTGATTACGGTGTTTCAATATAAACTGGGTTTAGGTAGGATACTAAATCCTGTGATCACAGAATGCAGGAAATCTCTTCCTATCACTTACCAATATTCTTCATCTACACCTGGGTTGAGGGAGGCAAATGCCATGTCATGTCTTGCCAAAGGACAGTGACACGCAACGGCTCAACCAATGATCTTCGCATCTCCAGTCAACCTTTACATTTAACAACATTTTGTAAAAACTTCAAATGAAAACCTCATCAATTAAATTCTTGGGGGGTGTTTCACAAATATCCTAAGTTGAACTTATTTCTAAGTTGGACTTTACAATTATGGCAAGCCGTTAGCATCTTTGAAAATATTTTGTAAAAGTTATTTTAAAAGGCATACAATTTTGATTCAAATCTTTCATATTTTCTATTATCATAGGAGATTTTTATGTTCTTGATGTGGAATTTATGAAAAGTCTAAAATACTTGAATTTTTGATTTTGAATATATTTCATTTATAAGGCTACAAATGGCTCTCCATAACATTTAAGTCCAACTTAGAGTTAAGTTTGACTTAGAATCTTTGTGAAACACCCCCAGGTTCATTCCACCATATACATGTGGATATTGCAAAAGAAAAATAAGTCTCAATCCTTCTATATTCTGACATATAATTCAATAACAGAAAGACAGCTAGCATTACAAGAAAGAAAAAAAAAATCATTACCAATAAAATGATATAACTAATAAGGATACCAAAGAAAAGTATGATTGTACTTCAAGATGATTATTAGTACAAAATGTATTTGCATGTCACTTAAAGTCACAATAATATACTAGTCATATCTATATAGTAATTTTACATAAATGTACAGTACAATCTTTAAGCTTAAATTCTACAGATATTCTCCACCATTGATCGACAATCTACAAATTCCATCTTGATCTAACCATCCCATTTAAGATGATAAGTTCAACAACAGTTTGAAAGACAATATTTCAATCCTCACTATTTCATATTGTTGGTCATGGAAGGCAAAAGGGAACAAAATATTAGACAAATGACATGATGAGATGAGATGAGCTAAAAGCCGGTCTCTTTCTCTTTTGATTTTTCATCCTCGACAGAGAACTGGACATCTTCTGGTGACCTCTTCTGCTCATCAGCGCTGGTTGATGGCTCGGTGACGTCCACCTGGGCTGGTCCCATATCAGCAACAGCATCGGCTCCAGGTTCAACTCCATCTTCTACATGATATGGATGGGGGGGGGGGGGTTATAGGAAATAAATCAGTCAAAAGAGTACAGAAATATTCATACTAAAAAGCTTTCTTGTTCAGCTTCCTTAATTCCTTTTCCCATCTTACTCTGCTAACTCCTCTTTCATAGCGTAGGCCTTTACTTTTGTCAGAATGTATTCAACTGTTTGTTTATAATCTAATTGATGTTTTTGTTTGGTGTACATTTATGTATTCTTATGTTATTCATTGTTATCTCTTGCCAGTGGAGGCCAAATTTCTATGTCTTTTAACGTGGACAATCAAATTTGAACCTGAATATTAGAGGATAAAACACGATGAGAAGCTGGATTGACAAGACATGTCCAATTGCAAATCGACATACTGGGCGACGAAAGCTTTTCACATATAGCACGGACACTAATTTACAAGTACAAGATAATGGAGTAACAAATTGTCCTCGTTTACGAGTCTGAATCTATGAACAGTAACATCTGCCAATCAAATATTTATTTGGGGCAAGCACATCGTTGTTATTCTATGCAACAAACACAAACCATTTGGTTTCAACTGACTGAAAAGCAACATCGAGTGTGCAACATAAAACATGAATATGACATCTTTGTAGCTTGCTAAACATGACATTTATATACTAGCATAGAGAACAAGACTGCCTGTTAATCTTCTCATCAGATACTTTCCAACAGGATGTATGGAACAACATGAAGGAAACTGGTTGGAAGGAAACTGGGAGACTGGTAGCGGTAGAAAACAGGAAACCCAAAGGGGTAATAGTATATCTGAAAAGCGCTTAGAGACATTGTATTAAGCGCTATATTATTAAGGAAACTGGCAGTAGGATAGGATCAGTTAGTTATCTTTAAAATTTTTGTTAAGTGCCATGGTACAATTCTTACATTCACCTGTTACAAAAATAATTGTATTGAAATAGTCAGAATGCAAATTGCATACATTAATTGTCACTAGGTACGACAAACATGATGGATTTTCCTACCTCACTACACAGAATGTATGCAATTTGCATTCCGACTATTGAAATACAATCATTCATAACAGGTGAATGAAATCATTTGTAACATGGCACTTAACAAAGATTTGTGCATTGAATTTGATTACATTACCGACCTTACACAGTTGCTTCCACACAGTTTCTTTCATAATGTAATCACACAACCAGAACTCAACTTTTCTTTTAATTCATGAAACTCGTCTGTTTCCACTTCACAATGTCATTACCGGTACTTACCTTTTTTTTCTTCAAAATTCAAAATCACAAACTATTCTTCAAAAATGTCTTTGTATAGTTACTACACATGATGCCATTCTCATGTGTGTTAAAAAAAATTAATGTACAATTAATCAACCAAATATATTACACCATTCAATAAATGTATGTAGCTTATAATTACTTGAACCCACAATAACCGATTTCTGTTCATTTCAGTTAGATTGATACTTCATGCAGTTAGTAAAGCAGCTCCACCATTGGATAGCAGTTAGAAATGAAAGATGTTATCTTATAATGTGGATGCCATGCAACAACCAAATACTTGTGTTAGATAGTCCCTTGAAAAAACTTCTGGGTTAGTTTTATCACTGTAGATCCATCTGCAGACCAGATGGCACTATCGATAAACATCAATTTAGAATCATTATTAGAGGAAACTTTTCTTCCGTGACAACCTTAAAGGTACTCTGTCCCATTTGCAGGCCAAAAAAATGAAAAAGTTAAATTCCAACTGCATTTGAAAGATAATACTAATTTAGAACTTCCCTAAAAAAGGTGAGGCTTGAAAATGTCTTCAAGTGGGAAAATAACGACTATTAGTTGTCAAATCGACTTTAGGGCTATAGAGCCCAAAAGTAATAGTCTTGATTTTCAGACAATTGTACCGAATGGTCATACGTTTTATGCTGCGCAAAGATTCAATCAGTTTAATCTTGGCCATCACAAGAAGTGGGTTATTGATGTAGACAAATGCTCATGTACCCTTTACAGCTCATTTTATGTATGTTATTACCAAAGAAGAAAAAAGCCAGTCAGTCACTCAATAGTGTCTAACAGTGAAGTTTAGCAAGTAAATGGGTTTCCTTGCATAATTTGAATATGAGGACACTGCTAACGTTTAAATTTCACAGATAGGACATACATGACATATTCATAATTCCTGCAAAGTTCTACAGAATTTGAGGTTGGCTGCAAAAGGGACATAGTATCTTTAAAAGCAGTTAACCAAACTTACCAGACTGATTCTCTACAGAATATGTAGACTAAAAGCTATAATAGTACTCAAGACAAAGACCAGAAGTTATAGAAAGTATAATAAACCAGTTGTACACAGTGGCAGATCCGGGTGGGGACATGGGGGCCCTGGCCCCCACCCCTGGCAAAAATAAAAGTTTTTAAAAAAGATGGTAACGACAATTTAACTTTAATTTTTTTTTCTTCAAGGACAGATACCCCCACCTCTAAGAAAAAGAAGAAAAAAAGTATTACAATTCTTTTTGTGTTTTTTTGCTCAAGGGGAGGGGGGGGGGGTGTTGAGTACAAAAATAGTGCTCACTACCCCCCACCCATCAAGCAAAAATGCGCCGCTAAATATTTTCTCACTAATTGGGCTCCCTCCTTGTCGTCGGCTGGATCTGCCCCTGGTTGTACATAATTGCACATGTATGTACATATGGTTAATAAAGGAAGAGAGAGTGCCTACAACTTCACATGAGATTAACATAGGTCCAATCACAATAGGATGCTTGGTTGCATAAGAGTCGGGGATAAATAATCTAAAAGAATTAGGTCATATCTCTGGATTTGTGAAGAGAAATACCTCCCATCCTGTATGCACTTACTGCCATTCGGCGACGTTGCTGATTTGACGCTGAAAGTTATTCCCTGATCACTGCTGGCGCTTGGCGTTTGTGGTGTGATGATGATGGTGGGAGCAGGGGGTGTTAGGCTTTTCCTGTATGCCTCTGTTCACATTAAGCACAAACGTGTGAACACAGCAACAATCAAGAACGCACATGTAAACAGGGCGGGGTAGGGTAACACATATTGGGAAAAACAAACAATGGTAAAGAAAAACCATGCATGCATGTTAGGTATATGATCAAATGATAAATTCATGAAAAAAAATCATCTCCACATGTTCGTAAAATTGTTTGCGATTTCAGGCAAAGCAAAAACAACTAATTCTTCTTTTTATGCATGATGACATATGGATTGCAAGACATTCAGCATCTATTCTAGCATTTCACCTTCAGTGTTCACCAACTCCCACCTCTGTTTCACTTTCAGATAAAAATCATAAAACACAATGGTTTAAGTGACATAGGAGAACCTTCAACCAGCAAACAACATGAGGCCTCCAACGAAAGGAAATAAGCAGTACACCAATCACCGTATGTATGCAACAATTTGTATCGGTATATCTCTACTTCAATCGTAATTCATTGAATTGGGATGATCGGTTAACAGTTGGTTCTATAGCAACATATGATATCAATTTGTTATGGAAGTACAACCTTGGGATAATTGTATTCCTCAAATTCATAGAGGACATTGCAAAGGCGATCACAAAACAATATGACGGAAACATAAAAAACAAGATTAATGTAACTGCATCTCTAATATGCCTCTGCCTGTATATGGTCATTGATGGGTTTGAATCGCCTCAGGGGGTAACAAGATATTATCTAGCAGTTTTTAACTCTTTTATAACCCTGTGACCTTTTATCTTTGACCCCTTCTACCTAAAATCTAATAAGGTCATCCTTGTGTGCTCATACATACCGGGGGTACTTCAAGTTTTGGTTAAAATCCACTCAATGGTTCGTGAGTTATCGAGGTAACAAAAAGAGGGAGGGAGGGATGGATGAATGGACGGATAACCCCAAAACATAATGCCTCAGGCAACACCCTCGATGATTGTTAAAAAAACCCTGCAACTTCAAATGTTTAATTATGAGCAAAATGCGTTGAGATAATCAGCAAACAAAATGCTTATGAGCGTGCAAATGCCATAGATTAGTAAACCAAAATTGTATGATAAATTTTACTGAATAAATAAAAGCTGTCAAAATGCTGTGAATTTAAAAAATGTACTGTGTCGTGGCTTCCTGATCATGCATTTTGGGCCCCATTTCACAAAACTTGTCATCAGTGACAAATGATAGCTTTTGTTATAAGCTAGTGAAATCCTTGCTTCTGATTGGTTATCAGCAGATTTGTCACTGATTTTTGTCATTTGTCACGGATAAAGGCTTTGTGAAAGGGGTCCCTGATCCAATATACCATTTGTTTGAAAGTAGATTCATAAATCAGTGTATAATGTAATGAGCTAACATCCTTCTGGCTCCAAACAGATATATATGATGATTGATTGAGCCTGATCATTGCTGCTTTCCTGAACAATGTGTTAGCAAGCATCTAAACCCGTCGCCTACAAGAACTGGGTAGTTTTTGAGCAAACTATTTATGTTGCTTCAAAAGGCTTGGAATGGCAGCATTTTTATTCAAATGGTATCATTGGGAAATGTTTCAAATATAATTTTCAAAGTTATCTTGCTATCCATTGCACCTGGAAATGAATTTCCATCATGTAATTTTGAATACCATAATGATTAACAAAACCCATTCATTTAAGTGTTTAAACCCCGTCTGTACTAGTATGTCCAGGAGGGATTAGACCACCCAGCGTGGTTACTGACAGGTGGTTATCTCATCAACTCAGCTCTCAATTAACATAAGAAAAAGCGAATCATGGGGGACCAATGGGCACCGCTTAGGCATGTTTTCTATATAGAGGAAGCAAGTAGTACAGTGGGGCTTTAAGAGTGGAACATATAGATGCCAGCTACAGATTGGTCACAGGAAAAGAAAACCCATAAACCTTTAATGATGAACATTGTATTTCCAAGGATTCCTTTCCATCAAAAATCTCTCAAGTTATTTCCTACCTTTGGGTTGTTGGGCATCACCACTAACGTCCAGGTTGTTACCGCTGCGGCTCTTGAACATGTTACGAATGGCCGAACCGGAACGCTTACGAGTGTTGCCCTTCTGCGTCTTGTTCGCCCGCATCTTCTTTGTCTTGTGACGATGCAGGATGTGAAGGCTACGCTCTGCCAGAGGTTTCTCCTCGTGATCCTTGATCTCCTCATCATCCAAGAAGTAACGGGACTGACGCACAGTGTGCTGAAGGGTTTGATCACAAGAAAAGAGTTGGATAATAAAGAAGAAAATAGAAAAACAAGGGCATTAAAGGCATCGTTTAACAATGTTAAATCTGAGATGCATGGCCCTACGTGTCATCAGTGTCTGTGATTTGGTGTAATATTGAAGACCTAAACAAATTGCGCTTCAACAATGATGATCAAGAAGTGCCTCAAAAAAGTAAAAAATCTTTGAGTGACCGGTTTTACCACACTCTTTTTCTAAAATAGACTGTAATGTTATATAAAACGTAAGGAAAACGAAAAATGAAATTTCGATTTCCAATCATATAATATCTTGATTCAAAACATCCTTGTAATCATAAAAACCGAACTGTCATTTTTGTAGAATAACTAAGGTCTTAGTAAATGTAATGAAAATACATCTGGGATAAATATTCAACATAATTTTGAACTGATTTAGATTACTGCAGAAATTTCAAAATACAATATGAGAGTCTTTGGATGAATTATTAATGGCTATATGTATTCCTGCGTAAACTGAATAATGATTATACATGGGACAAGAATAGGTGTAGCGTACGCCACGAGAGACTACTACATGTGAAATGGAAACCAACATGCCAACGAGGACACTCCTTGAAAAAAATGTCAGCATTTTTAAAAAGAAGGTAAAATACTTACAGCCTGACGAGGTCTATAAGCACTCTTCTTGAAGGCATCCAGCTGATTTGTAAAGGAGGACTTCCTACGTTTGGGTGATTCTTCTGTTCCTTCTTGAATTGCCATACTTTCAACGTGGTCAGGTTTACGCTGTCTCAGAGCGGGGTCAGTTACCTCCTGGTTGAGAAGAGAGCTACGCAAGAAAAATATGTACGAGGTTTGATCAACGTCATTACTGAAATCCTAGGATTTATTACAAGTCACTTGCAATAATAACAATCATACTCACTCCAACTATAGCATATACAGTTAACAATTACAGTTGACAATCATTATTCATACCCCTTGCATATGTGATGAGTTTTGGGGTATTTCGTAACTCAAGAATGACAGATTGGACGTGTCGAATTAGGGCCTTTGTTGAATACTCTTACCGGTAGATGTACAATTTAATATGTCACATTCTCAAGAACAAATTGGGACGAATCAGTCAATGGGAATTAATGGAACAAGAATGTGAATAATAATAGGCTCTGATTGTCTGTCATGGGAAACTAGGCATTACCAACTTTTGTAGAAAGGGGCAGTTAACCGCAGTTAGTAGTGTGGTTTACACTAATGAGTGCAAGACGAAAAGCTTCAATATGTCTGTATTCAATGCTAGTCATAGATGTTGTCGTACCAATCATCTCATAAGTTATCTTTACTTATGTTTATCCTCTCATAAAAACTCTCATCAAGAAAAATAAACTCTTCCTCAGATACTTACGCTTCACTTTGATTTCGCGAGATGAGGTCTCCAGTTGAAGGAGAAAGATGGAAATTTTTATTACCCTCAATCCCCTCCCGAGTTTCTTTCTCTTTCAAACGCTTGTAGACGTTAAGGATTTCTCCGTCTCTGTTCACCTTTGGTTCCTTCACCAGTAACTTCTCAAGGAATTTATGGTTGACCTCTTCCCATCTGCTCATGAATATTCATAGAAACATTTGGATTAATCATTGCCATAGATGAGGTTGAATTCATTCAAATATTAAGATGCATCATTTGTTTACACTGAATAATGAACAAAGATATATTCTGCTGAACATTGATCATGAGGGGCTATATACATACAGCTTTTCATATAAATCATTCTTTTCAAAGGGTTACATACATCAAGATTTTCAGATAAATTGTTACCTAACAAAGAACAAGAACAACATCTATTTTTTTTTAATTCAGATATTTTATAACTTTATACTGGGCTATAACTCAATTATTACCATATATGTGTTCACTAATCACTTTTTTTGAAAACTCAAAACATTTAACCAAAAATCAAAAGAACGTTAGAAATGAAATCACATAAAACATAAACAGAAATTGTATTTATAAAGTATTTTCAGACATTTCTTAGATGTGGAGAGGGAAAGAAGTTCTTCGATTCACAATCATACTCCTTCAATTCACAATGGTTCTTACTTGCTTTATAATAGAATCATCCAACTTACTTTTCTTTGATCCAATGATGTCCATGGTGACCAACTATATCCTCCACACCCGCCATTAGATGGCTGTTAAACTGTGAAATTAACATCAGTCATAACAAGAGTTCCTCAAGTCAATTGTATTGATTAACATACAATAATTACCATGACAATACTCTATTATTTTAAAGGCCCACTGTACTACTTGTAGCTACTTGCTCCCTCTATATAGAAAACAATGCCTTATCGGTGACCATAGGTCCCCCATGATCGTCTTTTCTTATGTTGATTGGGAGCTGATTGATGAGATAGCCACCTGTCAGAGACCTTCCCGGGTGGTCTTATTCCTCCTAGCCAAACTAGTACAGACGGCCTTTAAATAACACCTTACTTTGCGTAACTATATGTCTCTATACATTTCCAGGGTACATAGGAAATTATGAATTCCAGCTAATTTGGCACCCGAGTCTAGCTCAGGCCCCTCTCCGAATGACAAGGCCAGGTAAGCCAGGGACTGATTGAATATCTTTAAAAGATGGATTTTGTAAAAATTCATATAAACACCAAGTTCCAAAATTAGGAACTCATTATATGCCACAAAAAATAATCTCCCTGTGCCACATTGTCTTGATCATGGGATAGATATATATACCAAAGGCTTCAAGATTATTTAACTGTTTCCAGTGCAAGGTTAATCTAAAACAGTGTTAAAAGGGTTGTCACAGAGCTACCTAATCAAGCCTGGAAATGGGTCATTTTGCAAAGCCACTGTGTTGCACAAAGCAATCCTACCATCAATTGGTGTCTATATTGCTTTGTGCAAAATTGCAGGTGTGTCAAACGAGCATCGTGTAGAGAGGCAAATAGAGTAACCAAAGGGTTAAAATAGAAATATTGCAATACCACTACCAGGGCCCAGTTTCAATAAGCTGTGATAAAAATGCGTAAACCTGTTGGCTACTGATTTATCTAATTCCCATAGGCTTAACACAGGGACCACCAGGTTCCAGTAAACAATGGGTTAATAGAGTCATGGCAGTTGTTATTGTTATAATTAATTATCTTTATCATTAATATAAATGATCTTCTGTCACCTGAGCCTGGGAGGGGAAAAGCAAACTTCATTACTAAAAACGTAACTAACGTCCTATCTGAGGGTACGTTGAGTGTTTTCCATTGTAACCTAGCTAGCCTGCATCTATGGAACATGGGAGGGGCACGTAAACACAAAATGCAGGCTTCCATCATTAACCTGGGCTGGATTCAAGCCCACGATCTTTGGTTCGCCAGGTAGATGCTCGCCCGACTAACCCAACCTAACTCCTCAACCTTAATAACAGGTTCTATGAAATAAGACTCTCGACATTTTCTCTTTGCTTTTTTTTTAGTACTCACCCTCTCGTAAATTTCTTCATTCATCGTTGGTTTCCTCTTCTCTGCTTTTTGGATGTGCAGAAAGTTCACAAGAGGTTTGATAGTAATACCCTGGTTTAGACAAAAGTAAGAAATTGTTCAAATGATGCACTTAATTTAATATCAAGACAGAAATTTCTTAATGAGATTGTTGAGCTCTACAGTAACAAAGACAGTGCTTTTCTTTGTACAACTATCAGTATACTGATTATATGTTTGTCAAATTGGGAAATAAGCAGAAGATCTTTTATTCAAATTTAGCTCTCACTGTCTTAAAGATAAAGACCAGTTGTGGTCATGCGATTGCATTGTGAAAGAAACGTTGTGAAATCGATCAGAAAAGGTCAATCATCTAGCATAGATGTACTTGAAATTTGGCCCAGTCTTCATAAAGTTACAAGCACTGTACACAGAAAGATGTATATTGGACTACACACACTTGCACGACACGTGCGTTTTTATCTTTCACATCCCAATAGATAAACTAATTTACCAAATATATCAATTAGTAGGCGGTTTCCCGGCAAAATTGTTATCATCATGTATTATTCAAAACATATTCTTTCACATGATTGGTAATAAGGGCTTCCATTTCATTTTTTGAAATTGGGGCGTTTCCAATACTGGTCTTTACCTTTAAGCTTCATATAAATATGCTATACTGTAGTAAACTGCCTGAAAACACAAAAACAAACACACGTATGCACACATGTTTTTATGGCAATCAGTCAATTTTGACTATTATCACGAACAAATTTTAAAATTTTTGTTTTATCATAATTATGTTATAATACAACTGACTTCCCTCTTGTTTTTAGTAGTTATTTTTTTCTTCTTCTTTTTAATAATCATTATATATTTTCTTAAAAGATAAAATGGTATCATGTAGTATAATGATAAAACAGTGCTTATAAAGGAATGACGTAAGCGGTGGCTTCAAATTCTATACTATACAACTCTTAGATCAGTGAGCCCGTCTGGGAGTGTTTATTGCAAGCAGTGCTCTTTTCTATCTATCGGTCGTAATATATTTATTTTGCCAAGGTATCTTTTCTTTTTCTCCTATTGAAGTGGCTCACCACATCATGTTTAGACAAGCCTTTTGAGTATTATCATAGCTATTGGAAGGCTCAGAAAAGTCAATCTACTTCAGTACTGTAAAAACAAGAAACTTTCAGGCAAGTGATTTACATTCACCAAAGGTTTCTCGACCTATGAAATAGTTGAACTTCAACTTACATAACACTGGCTATTTGAAGTTCTTAGGTTTCTTGATGTGAATATAGATTTTGTTAACAATTTGCAAAGGTTATATGTGGCAAACGTTCATCTTTATTTAAAACCTTCTGTACATTCTTAGTAAACAGATTTCTCTGTTTTATGAGTATGTTGCTAATCAAATGATCAATTAGAGAACATACTGCTGCTGTTGGTTTCGAGTAATATAACACTGACATGGCTTATCAAAGCCTTTCCTTGTTTCTAGGCCAAAGGAACCACACTTGATTAATGCTATAGAAACTAGAAAAGTACAGACTTATCTTCAGCGCAGTTCCAGATACATATCTCAATGGACAGTGAAGAATCGTTAATGACTTTTAAAAACCATGAAGTACCGATAGAATCAATTCATTAATCAGATTACCCTAGATGTGTACAACCACTTATTAAATACTTGAACCAGGTATTAGGTATTAAAAGGCATCCAACATTTAAAGTGCACCATTTATCAAGAAATATTTTGTTTTGTATGTCAGTAGTTCCATGTCAATAACAAGTTAAAATAACCGTTATAAGCAACTGAAATTGTGGCATTTGATTGGTCGAGAGTCAATTTGCCATAGAAAATTAGTATTCGTTATCGATGATTGACAAGTTTCACGAAACAGGGTCCAGATCAATGAATCTCTCCACAAGAAGAGAAGACAATTTGCCTCCATTTTATGTTACCTGTACAAAGACTGTGAACATGATGATCACTACGGTTGTGGTGAAGAAGATGGGCTTTGCGCTGATGACTTTAGAACACAAGAGCGCCACCAACGAGAAAGCGATAGCACCGCGGATGCCTCCATACGTCATGATGAACTGAGAGCGTCGGTTGATCTTGAATAGTCGGAAGCGATTCAGGATCGTTACCTGTACGAATACACCTGGAAAGGGAAAACAAAAAATGTATGAATGTGAAATAATACTATTACGGTAAATAGGAATGATAACAATAATACAAAATCTTTTATTAAGCACAAATCATCCTAGTAAAGAACCTCAATGCACTTCACAATCATGATTTTAAACATAATTACATAACATGAGTACATTACAACAACAAAATGTTAGTGAAGTATTTCATTTTTGTTCACTATTGCACATTCAAATCATGCTCTGCCTACAAAGGCACTTAGGGTCAATTTAGTTTGTCAAATTCTAAAACTCAACACAGGACCCAACACAATACCTGACCCTAATCCGTACCCTAAAACTAGTTACCTATAATGGACTTTGTGGCAGATTAGCCTCGTGCTAAACAAGTTATCTACTGAAGTCTACTACTACTACTACGATAAGCCAAGCACACAACCTAATCCCTATGTTATACCTCTCTTTAGAAATCTAGCCATCTGATTGGTCAAAATTGGAGTCGTATCCGGATGTACCGTCCCCTTGAGCCTATAGAAACAGTGATGCTTCTCATAGCAGTCAATATACCTATAATATTTAATAATACAGCCTACAGAGACCTTGATTGCACTTGAGCATGTGTTTAATCAACAACCATCTTGACAGCCAGTTTGTACTCACCTATAGCCCTATACACGGAGCAGAAGAGGAGAGTGAAGAGAACAAACGCCGTGTCCCACTGATGGGCCTCTTTGCTGAGTGATGTAGTCCCTAAGAAGATGAAGATGATGGTCTCACTGATACTACTCAGCATCTTGAGGAAGTATTTGATGGTGGTGTGAGACTTGGTGGAGATGTTCTGCTCCACGTAAGGCTTCATGAACATCGAACATGTGACGATCCTGAAAGAACAATTAAAATACCGGTGGATTTAGTGAACAACCATTGTTGGATGTAGGTTTGGCCCACATTAAGACCGTAGTCAAACCTGCTTTAGCGACCACCTGTATAGAAAGACCACCTGTCTACAGAGACCACATTTTTTGTTTCCCTTGAAAATGGTTTCTCATTGAAACATGTACTAAAGGAACCTGTACATAAAGACCCCCTGCCTATAAAGATCACTTTTCTTGTCTCCCTTAGGTAGTCTTTATAGACAGGTTTCACTGTACTATAATTGATTATATCATTCTACAAAACTTGTATAGCTATACGACAAGTAATAAACCTTTCTTTCTACTCTGAATGATGTATTAAGAAACGTTGTATGATGAACATCATACGTTTGAGCATAGTTTTGAACAGAAACTCAATAAGAATCAGTGTCCCGTTCTAGTCTGAACATCTCATCAAAGAAAATTGTGTAACTGGGCGGGGCTTATCGTGAGCTCACACTGATGGTTGGACAGCAAATTGACCTGTTTAAAGAAGTTTCTTATACAACTTTTCTTTATACAATGTTGTTTTGTACTCTGTATGCCCCTTTTACTATACAATGGTTCTTTATATGACGTTTCTTCACACAATTTTCATGTGAAATTTGTATGGTCTAAAGAAGTTATTTTTCTGCCTCAATAAAGTGAATGGCCCTTTTAAATGCAGCAGAACTTGTTTTAAAAAAAATTAAAAACTAAAAGCATAAAACATAAAGGAGATACACACTCGTCTTCTTCATCAAGTGTCACTTGACTGTTCGTTTAAAAAAAGTAATGTCCCTAAAGAAACAAAATGTTATGACTCTTACAAGTTTTCTAACAACTTTTGTATAATCCAATTGCATGAACACTGTACTACTTTCTCTTTCGATATGTTGTACCTTGTACCCACTTGTGTATAGTTTTGTATTGTTACATCCAACTTTACTGCTCAGTTTCACTGTTTTAGTAGACTTACAACTATGTGGAAAAGGATAAATTGAGCACATGAACAGACAATTTGCAGATTTTTATGTTCATTTTCAAATTAAATCTCTTTAGAATTGCCTGACACAATGATGCACAAGAGTGCATTTCACGTCAAAGATTTGATTATGAGTTCATTAACTAACGCACTCAACACTATACAAATTAAAAAAAAGAATGTCATCCGTGAAATTGATCTGAAATCTATGGTATGGCAATACATGATGAGATTTGAACTAAAAACCCATTTTAAACTCGGTATAAGACCTAAAAGAGCTCCTTTTCTGATAAATAGTTCATGTTGAGTTTTAATACATTTTTGTCCATGGGATCTCATCTTAAATTGGGAATAGCATGTGAGCTCATTTCTGATAATAATTTCATGCATTTTTTGTTTTTATTGAAGAGTCAGAGAAAGGTCTGGTGTCAATTCATGAAATAATATTTCCATCACACAACTAGAACACATGATAACAACTAAGTCATTTATACCAAAGTCATGCTAATTTCTAAATCACCTACTATCAAAGTAGGCAAAAGCGAGACTAATTCAGAGAGACCAAATTTATATTACTTTTACAAAATTCAACTTCCTTGTTAGAGTGAGTCAGGTTATAATTATTTGTAAAAGTACAAGTAAAGAGGACCATATCCTGTTTGTGAGTTAACAAAAAAGAGTTTCCTTTGAAACCAAGGATTGAGAAGTAATACCAAATAAAATGAAATCTGATTTATACTAAGATAATCAAGTATGGAAAGTGAAAAGCTGATTTTATACTTGAGATATATAGACCTAGTGCAAAAATTAAAGGGAATGTCCCTAAATGAAGTATTCTGTGTCAGCAAAAGGGTTTATTTAATTTCCATTGTTCTCAACCATGATGTTGGGTGGTAAATGTTCTGAGAAAAAAAAATGGGGCACACTTTTCTTCCTATTCAAATTAAGTTAAGGCCAAATGTTTGTAAGCTGCAGGCAACCACAATTTTAAAAATCCCTAACAGCTCGAACAAAACTAACACGCACACACAATGCCCACATTCCATGTCTGCAAGATTGGTAAAATACAATAATGGGCAATGGTAACAAGTGACCAAACACAAATATCAGTAGATTGATCAACAACAAAAAATAGATCAGGGGCCAGTTTTTCAAAACCGTCATAAGTCTAAGTTTGTAGACATCCCACAGATACGAGTGTTGATTCTATAACACAGGTTACAATAGGATGTCCAAGATGTCCATGGTTTCGAGAAACAAACAAACAAACAAACAAACTTAAATTTGAAGCAGGGTTTAAACTTTGTCTAAAGTCAAGTTTACATAAAAGGAAGTTGAAATTTTCCCCTTTTTAAAGATTGAAGTCCCTTGCGTCAGGTTTAACTGACTTAGCAGAACACTGGGCAGTGAATGCAAAAGGACAAGCACTACATGACATAGCATTTACTGAAAGTTCTGACACTGTTTATAACTTTACACTTGAGTACGAGTGTCTATTCAAATTGAATGCTGAAGGACAGGTACTACATGACAAAGCACTTACTGAAACAGTTTACAATGAGTACGAGAGTTCATTAAAAATGAAACCAATGTCTATGTGCTAGCTAGTACTGCATGCTTGGCCCGGTCTGAGCCTTTGGACAGAGTTATACAAAAGATACATTTAGGGAACTACAGAGTACAAATACATGCATTAAGTTAAAATTACAAATACAGAGTTGTGAATATATGTGTTTTCTAACACATATAATCATTGTTTGCAAAATTGTTTGGAGCGTTTAAAATTTACGGTTTGCTAAGCCCAAACTATTTCTGCATTGAGGCCTAGCTGCTTTGTGGCACAAAATACATATTGTGGTGGAATTGTATGTGCACGTACACTACCAGGTAAAACATGTCAGTCTATTCCAGTTGTTTATCTGGCGCTTTCATATCGAAATCTTCTTTTAGGATGTTACCCCCGTTCTAACCAACAATACCCATGACGGCCTAAGGCAGTTTATTGTCTGGAGCTTTGATATCAACATTTTCTCTTTTAGGGAGTTACCCCAAAGCTAACCAACACTACGCTTGATGGTCTAAGGCAGATTTTACCCTTGGTTTTATACACGGGTGTTACCCATCATATGCGCCTTGCCAACTTTTTTCATTACGTACTGTTACGTTTTGTTGCGTTCACCCCGTTTTACTATGGCCTACTATAGGTTTCCCATCCGCACCGTGACTGCCATGGCAAATTTGTTGACAGTTTAAAAATCCGGCCCGGCATCCATGGCAATCTCTGCCTGTCACGTTTACCCATTCCATCCATCACTTTGTCCATGGTGGCCTGAAACGTGATTGCCGTGGCCGCCGGGAACATGAAGTAAACCTAGCATAACCAACAATACTCTTGACAGTCTAAGGCAGATGTTACCCTTGATTTACATGAGTGTATTACCCGTCATTTAACACTGGTAACTTTTGATACCCAATGTACACCATGGTAACACTCAGGGGATCCCTCAAAATGATGTCGATGATGATGATGATAACAATAAAAATACTGATGGTGATGATGATGACGATAAATATCCTATTAATCCTTGTAAAGCCATTGTCAATTAAAAGTCACCTTATTATATCTAGGGCAACACTCAGGTGTCAGCATTGACAGAATCTTGGTTAAAAGGTATATTACATGAGTATCAAAAGACTGCAACATCGCAATGAAGACTAGACTGATCTTTATTCCTTGGAACTTAAAGGTACATTGTACTATATCCCATTTGCAGGCCTAAAAATGAAAAGGTTAAATCTCAACAGCATTTGAAAGACAATACTAATTTAGAACTTCTCTCAAAACAAAAGGGCTTGAAATGATGTTGGCTGCAAAAGGGACATACCGGTAGTATCTTTAACCTATATGGTGACATAAAGCTTACAAATGTTTCATGGATGAAGAATTGTATTTAAAAAAATTTGACTTTCTCAATGCTCACCTTGAGATAATTACTGTTTAATAATATCAAACATACCAAAAATGAAATCTCTAATTTCAAGAAACCAGCTCTTCTTTGTTCCAAAATCTTAGATACAATTGGGTCATTTTTTAAGTGCCAATGGCAATACAAGGGTTAATTGTATATTTTCAGCAGATACCTTAAGCCAATGGGTGAAAAAAGCCCATTGTTAAAATGTTTGGAAATTTAGGGCTGTGTTTGGGGAAAACCCTTTAAAATACCCGACAATTTTGAAGAGTAAAGGTTACCAAAATCAGTAGTGTTATCAACAAAACAAACACCATGTATTTGATGGACAAAAGGAAGTTAGTCTGATAAGTGATAATCTAATGTGATATTTATAATGTCTGTAATTATCAAAGAAGTGCAAACAATATATGCAATGAAAAACTTGTTCGAATCCTAATATTTTTTTGGTTTCTAGAATAAACAGCATTTAAAAAAAATGACAGTGAATTGCTAGTAAAATCTGCAGAACAAAGCCCATAATACCATGTTTTTAAAAGTATCACATCATCCATATAATAGGAAAATTGTAATTCTCTATACATATCTTTTTGTTTGTGCAATTTCAATTCATCACAAATATACTGACTAAGCTGCCGTGATTGATTCAAGTCGAACATCAGCACCAAATTAATCACAAGTTATTACTCTATGCAATGGTCGGATTAATTCAGATCAATAAGAAAAACCTAGTCTACTCTTCAGCATTTCGAATCTTCATAGGTTCCTAATTTTTATAACAAACTTTCAATTCATCACAAATATAATGTGTCAGGCCTGGATACACTGAAACATTATGCATGAGAATTTGGACTAATTTCAGCTATTGCTTGTCATAATTCACATGTAAGGGTATCTGAAGCCTATTCCTTGTCAGGGAACATCTCTAAATACTACCACCCTATTATGCTACTTCTCCAAACTGACACAAAACGAACAAGAAAGCTTACATGCTATTCAAAAACTTTACATGAACTCAACCTTCTTTTTAACATCACTTCCAGAAAGAAATGAATTAGGAAACACTTGACGTGAAACAAGTGTTAACCTTTACCTTGATCAAATAAACGGGCATATGCCTAATTTGATGAACTTGTACTGTGGCCCCTTGGACTTGAAACAATGAGATTATCTACACATTACAAACATGAGGAAATCTTCAAAAAGGAAATTCCCACTCAAAGATTAAATGCTGATGTCATGGTTTCCTCTCCCAGCTTGTTTACAATTGTTTGTTTAAGGCCAATTTAATGGCTTCCCTGCTTGTTTTGCCTAATCACCTTATCACCTAACTATACATTGTAGCTAATGATCAATAAAAGACTAATAGATACAAAACATTTTCACACCAGTCACATTTAATATCTATGTAATAAATACTGGTATCTAAAGATAAACAATATTTGTGACTATGATAATTAAGGCAAGTATCCAACCTGCAAGAAAACATATTGACTTTAACGGCTTAACCCTCCTCCTTTTTTTAAACAACACAATGAGTAAACAAACAACTTGAGAAGGGACCTGGGGGCGTTTCACAAAGCTTATTTTCAATAAATCAGTGACAAATCTGCTGATAACCAATCAAAAACAAGGATTTCGGTAGCTTATAACAAAAACTGTCATTTGTCACTGATGACAAGTTTTGTGAAATGCCCCCCCTGTTAGTAGCTAAAGCTTGCAAAATACTGAATAGTATATATGAGGTTACATCTGAAGAAAACATCTTTGAAGTCTAGAGGCCGTTTCTCGAAACTGTCATAGGTCTAACTTTAACTTTTTGGACATCCCATAGAATCATACTGAATAGTATATATGAGGTAACATCTGAAGAAAACATCTTAGAAGTCTAGAGGCAGTTTCTTGAAACTGTCATAAGTCTAACTTTAACATCTTGGACATCCCATCGAATCATGTGTTACAGCATTAGTGCGCATTTGTATGGGATGTCCACGAACTTGGACTTATTACGGTTTCGTGAAACTGGCCCCTGACGGTGGTACTACTCACGCAAGGATACTGGACAAGGTGAGCATCTCAGCTATGATGTAGGAGAGGTAGGCCATGACGAAGACGAAGATGGGCTCGATGACGCGTACCTTGTAGGTGTACTTGGTGATGAGCGCTGTGAGGAAACCCATGATGAGACCGATCAGGATACCTCCGAACGCGACCACGAAGAAGGAGATGAAGCCGAAGATGATGTCCTGAGTTGCAAGGTGTTCTCCTCCGATCTCGTTGAAAGATTCAAAGACACGGTACAGCACCTAGGATTGAGATAAGAAACCATCGTTCTAGTACAGTGAAACCTGTCTATAAGACCACCCAAGGGAGACAAGAAAAGTGGTCTTTAAAGGCAGGTGGTCTTTATGAACAGGTTCTTTTGGTACATGTTTCAATGAGAAACCATTTCCAAGGGAAACAAAAAATGTGGTCTTTGTAGACAGGTGGTCTTTCTATACAGGTGGTCACAAAAGCAGGTTTGACTGTACCTTGACATGCCATTTGAAACGCTCTCACAGCATTTGATAAGTCGATCATCCAGTCTCTGGGATAGGAAGCAAATCAAAGATGATGTATCGTGGGTGGAGGTGTCCTCCCCCATTCTCATCAAATAACTCCCCAAAAAACAAAAAAACATAATAACCATAATGTTCAAATACATAAAGCACAGAGACTTTGCAAATATGTTCTACTGAGTTGCAAAAACACCTGAAAAACTTCAGACTAGTACAGACCATTGAATGAAAAGATGTGATTGTAATTTTAATTTCGATTTTTAACAATGGTGACTTCCTGGTGTCTTGTATAGGGAGAAAGAAGTAGATTCCCAGGGGGCTGCTTACCGACGAGCACATTCGTTTTCAGGTCAAAGTATGAAACTTTACATCAACTACCTGGACCTGATTTGTATGTATTCTCTAAAATGGGGGCATAGTTAGATGGGCACATCCCCCCTCCCCTCCAAATGGAATGGACAAAAAAAGAGAGAAAGAATGAAACAGAGAGTGAAAAAGGATACTGTAACCAAAAGTAGATGACAGGTTCCCCACCTACAACCCCCCCCCCCCCAAAAAAAAAAACTTACTGGTAGCCTAGTAAGCCAGGTGGTTCCCCTTCCCATGTTGCTAGTGCCCCCCTCCCTAATAGATAAACCCATGCTATGCCTTTGATGTATGCAACAAGTCAATATACTTTATTACATTGAATCTTTAGAGATATGAGTGTGAGGTATTGTGAATGGATATTTGAAAGCGTGTTCACTCGTCACACAACATAACTCTTATTTCTATTTTAGCTACGAGGAAGCAAGGTTGCACTGACAATAAAATACATGAAAGAAAGTATTCCCTTTTCGTTAAGTTTATTAGGTAGTGATGAGGCTGGCCGTACACTTGCAAAGTGTAGCCAAGCACAAACGATGACTCGGAATGAGAATTGAAGATATTGCACGTAGTTACATAGAAATAGTAATGAATGAGAATGGACATGAATAAATGCGATGTATATAATGAAATTGAATGAATAGAGCTTACGACAGAATAGAAATGGCGTCGAAAGTCCAATGAAGATGAAGAGAGTTGAGAAGAACGAAGGAAGGGGCTCACGCGATGATGTGCGGAGGCTTGAAGAGGCGGAGATGTAACTTCGTTGTCGTGGCTGAAGAGCCGTGAAGAATCTCGACGCTGACGTCCGTGATGAAGATGTGAAGAAGCTCTCAGGCGAGAAGAGAAGAGACGAGATGTGGCGCTCGACGACGGAACAGTGGTCGTTCGATGTCGGAGGCGAAAAGTAGAAAGGTAGACATGCAAAGCCGGCACTGGTGCTGAGTAGAAATAGTTGCTCGTTTGATGCGCCGGACTTTGATGAAGAAATGTTTAGATGAGCTGCGGTGAAATGATGAGCTCGTGAGTGGAAAGAGCTACCGGAACGAAGACACTGGCAGCTCCCAGCGGAGAGTCAGGCGCCATGTCGGTGCTGACTATAACGTTCCACTGGGAGACTGCAGCCCGATGAACACGGCAGAGAAAGAGTTGACGTGCCGTAGAAAAGACGAAAGGCACGGAAGAATACAGCCTGGAGAGGAAATTGCGGAGATGTCTTGACTCGACCAAGGTGAAAGCGGGAGTGAAGAAAAACCTCGTGGAGTTGAAAATACGCGGGGTGAACAGTGCGGAACCACGATGCGCGATTGGAAGGAAAAACACACGTGGTCCGAATAATGAATATAAATAAGTACCGTGATGGAAAAATACTGGAGACATGAATGTATGGTGAAAGTAGGGCGAATGTAAGTAGGGCGAATGTAAGAGCCGCTACATTACTCCCCTGCCAGAATTGAAGCTGTGTATGCAATACACAGATAAAAGGCGATAAAGATATAAATGAGCAAAGTACAAAATGTCACAAGAATCAATGGCTGATAAAAATGTAAAAGTGCATGTATTGTATAGTGTATGCAGTAATTCACAACAGCCTAAGAAATGTACAAGCATGGCATGTTGAAAGAATGTAATACAACAAGCATGGTATGCGAACGGCTGTTTAGTTGCCAAAAATTGAACAGTGAGTATTGACATGGTATGCATCGAATAAACGCGTATAAATGCAAGAGCATAAAAAACATTTGATACAAAATCCAGAATGAATACAGTTGATAAAACATTGCTAAGTCCAAAAAGTCTGGGAATAATAAAATCGTACAACCAAGCTTCAAAGTAAACGAGGGGTCACCACTTTAGAGATATGAGTGTGAGGTATTGTGAATGGATATTTGAAAGCGTGTTCACTCGTCACACAACATAACTCTTATTTCTATTTTAGCTACGAGGAAGCAAGGTTGCACTGACAATAAAATACATGAAAGAAAGTATTCCCTTTTCGTTAAGTTTATTAGGTAGTGATGAGGCTGGCCGTACACTTGCAAAGTGTAGCCAAGCACAAACGATGACTCGGAATGAGAATTGAAGATATTGCACGTAGTTACATAGAAATAGTAATGAATGAGAATGGACATGAATAAATGCGATGTATATAATGAAATTGAATGAATAGAGCTTACGACAGAATAGAAATGGCGTCGAAAGTCCAATGAAGATGAAGAGAGTTGAGAAGAACGAAGGAAGGGGCTCACGCGATGATGTGCGGAGGCTTGAAGAGGCGGAGATGTAACTTCGTTGTCGTGGCTGAAGAGCCGTGAAGAATCTCGACGCTGACGTCCGTGATGAAGATGTGAAGAAGCTCTCAGGCGAGAAGAGAAGAGACGAGATGTGGCGCTCGACGACGGAACAGTGGTCGTTCGATGTCGGAGGCGAAAAGTAGAAAGGTAGACATGCAAAGCCGGCACTGGTGCTGAGTAGAAATAGTTGCTCGTTTGATGCGCCGGACTTTGATGAAGAAATGTTTAGATGAGCTGCGGTGAAATGATGAGCTCGTGAGTGGAAAGAGCTACCGGAACGAAGACACTGGCAGCTCCCAGCGGAGAGTCAGGCGCCATGTCGGTGCTGACTATAACGTTCCACTGGGAGACTGCAGCCCGATGAACACGGCAGAGAAAGAGTTGACGTGCCGTAGAAAAGACGAAAGGCACGGAAGAATACAGCCTGGAGAGGAAATTGCGGAGATGTCTTGACTCGACCAAGGTGAAAGCGGGAGTGAAGAAAAACCTCGTGGAGTTGAAAATACGCGGGGTGAACAGTGCGGAACCACGATGCGCGATTGGAAGGAAAAACACACGTGGTCCGAATAATGAATATAAATAAGTACCGTGATGGAAAAATACTGGAGACATGAATGTATGGTGAAAGTAGGGCGAATGTAAGTAGGGCGAATGTAAGAGCCGCTACAAATGATTGTATAGAATCAGAATCAAGGGCTGTTACTTCCCTGTACATGAACATCAATATAGTACCAGGTACTACCAGCACAATATTGTATTGCCTCCTACTTCAAGACACATGCAGTTCCCTTTTGGGGCAATCATCCCATATTTTGCGGTTTGCCTCAATAACTCTGGATTCAGAGCCCTACAAAACATGTCCAATTGATAAGTAGAAAAGGGGAAAAGGGTTCTGCATACCCGTACACTAGCTGCATCCATTCTTCTTCCATGACTTATTTTAGAAAGGAAAATAAGCTTTGAAAACCTTAAATTGGCAACACATTGAAAGGTTCTAAATCAATATTTTTGAACCAAATTTGCCCAATTGAAACATAATATTTTATTAGAACAATTTAGCGATAAAAGAAAAACAGTATTGTTGCCTATTTGAAGAACAAAAATTTAAATCCTGTCCTGAAAAAGCATACTCTTTATTCTTTTCTTCACATAGCACAGTAAAAGGTAATTTTAGATGAAACTAAACAAAGATAAAGCACCATAGAATTATGTAATACAAATATATATAAGCTTATGTATTGAATTTTTTGGGGGCATAAATTTCATCTCAATATGATTTCAATTATTTGTGCATTGAAAGCAGAATATTCTTATCTATCAATGATGTTCACAATACATATAAATAATAAACTAATAATGAGTCTTTCCTCTTTTTATTTCCAAAACCACTAATACTATTGTACAGACTTCAGTCTAAGCCTGCAAATGACCTTATATACATGAAATTAAGTTATGACCACATTTAACAGATTCATAAATTGTTGAGCGATCCTGACCTTCATAAACCATAATAAATAGAGGAAGTTTAGACGTATGATTGCAGCAAAGACAAACAAAACATATAGGGGTGATCAAATTTGAATAAACAATACGCTTTTTCTGAAATACGGCTTCCTTTTCATTTTGTTTTGCCTCACTACTTTGTCTTTTTTTTAAATTATTATTTATTTAAAAAAACATGCTGGGTGACCTATATATCTTTCGTTTACATTGTATTTTGTATCCTACTTGATTACAACAACACACTGCACAAAACAAAACTTGACACCCATCGGATGCAATATAGTTGTCAAGTAGGCTATCTATCAATATGGTTGAAGATATCAATGATGTGTTGCACTATGCTAAGAGTATATACGATAAACTCTGAATAAAACCTGTTCATTTAGGATCATGAATTTGGCTTAGGAACCTTTCATTTAGCTAACTTCGTCATATATACATGTATGTTGGTTAGAATTGGTAAAGTCAGGTGGTGTCATGTCATGTCATGACAGCTTTATTACTGTGGTTGAACTTGACAAGGCTAATCATTTATCAATTGAAATTAAGTTGTAAAAGGTAAATTAACCTACCACCTGCAATACATTAGGCGCTCATTAAAGACCATATACTAAGCACTATAATGGGGTAATTGGCAGACAAATGGAAATATTAGATTATCAATATATTATCACCATAAGGACACATTTCTGCCAAACTTGGATAACGCTTTGCCCAATCACAATCCCCTTTTTATACCAAACACTGAAGATTGTTTTTTCTTCAAAGTTGTGCCTGTAATTTGCCGGAAAATTGATCAGACATATTTTTACCATGGCAATGTTGTGGACAATTCTTGACATGATATTGTTTGTTGTGAAGTAAGCATGGAAATGCCTGTGAGGCCTGCATACTGAAGTATTTGAGAAAACCAGGCAATCTCTATAATGACAAAGTAGACTCACCACTGTGACAGCATCATTGAGCAGTGATTCTCCAAAGACCAGAATGTGAAGGACTTGATTGACATGAATCTCCTCAAAGACGGCCAGAACAGCGACAGGATCCACAGCAGAGATGAGACTGCTGAAGGTCATACACTCCAAGAAATTGATGGTTGTATTTCCACCTTTAAAAAAACAGAAAATCAGAGACATTATCATTTTAGTCACAGCGATTCCCTCAAGCATACGTGTTGTTGAATACTGCAAGTTATGGCGATGTTTCTCATTAGATGTGGCATTGCTATGTATTATTCAGAATTCAGATAATGCTTCGAGGCCTTAGAAAGCATAAACGATATTCCTATTACCATTCTGCAAAAAAGAAGATTATGTGATACAAGAGAAACTGTTTTTTAGCACCTTGGAGGTTCCAATGGATATGCTTAATGCAACAAAATTTCCCCATGAAATTGAGTTTGACTAAGAACCACTATTAACGATGAGCAGCTTTATCAATTTCTTTTCATTTTGAGCTTCTCTCACACTTCAGGTGTGAGATGTGTGCCGAAGTGACCCATGAGCACGAGGGTGTTTCACATAACTAGTCGTCAGTGACAAATGACAGTTTTTTTTATAAGCTACTGAAATCCTTGCTTCTGATTGGTTATCAGCAGATTTGTCACTGATTTTTGCCATTTGTCATTGAAAAAAGGCTTTGTGAAACACCCCACTGGTGTGGCTTGTGGAGAGTGGCCTCTGGGGTGCCCTGGAGGCATCTCAAGATAGCTTGGTATGACTCATGAAAAAAAAAACTCACTCACAGGTACTTGATGTCACAGGTATTTGAAGTTTTAACATGTTCAAAATAATTTTGAAGATGACTCAAATTGCTACATGCAATGCGAGCAGTTTATTTCTTACCAGCTTCTTTGGAAGTTGAACTGTGTTGGGTACAGATAGACTGGGTATGCCCTACTCTACAAACAATGAGTGAGCTTGACTTGAACACCGAGCAGATTCATACCAAATAGCACTGAAATCTTGTACTTTTCAATCATTAATAACATTAAACTCACTCAAGAGTCTCCAATGTAAATACCTAGAAAAAGTCCCTAGGGTTTAGTTGTAGTAACTGCATCAAACTCATTCATAAGTCCTCCTGCAGACGTATACACCCTCAATATTCAGCCTTTATCTAAAACAATATCAAACTTTTATAAATGTAATGCTTCCTGGGAGAAATTTCAATTATTCAAACATATTTGTGGCTTACACCCAGTAGATGGCAGTTTCATGTCCTGCTGGTTCCAAGATTTTTTCTGACTTGTTTTTAAATTACAGATCAATCAGAGGATCTTATTTACTGGGTGTAAGCCACAAATATGTTTAAACATCAAACTTACGGAGAAGTCCGCCCATAGAGACGCCCCACAGAGACAATCCGATGGTGAAGGCGTTGATGAGGGTCCCGACGACGGCGAACATGAGGATACTGCCTATGTTATTCCAGAAAGCAGCCTGAGGCATGAAGTACCCCGCCTCCATCATGATGGGCGGTAGGAGGTAGAGGAAGAAGATGTGGGCCTGGAGCTCTGGCTTGAACGGCGACGCAGTGTTGGCCAGGAAGAGGGCTCCGATAATGAAGCCAATGGCAATGAGGAGGCAGCTCTCCGGGACATACTTGGGCAGCGGCGAGAAATGGAAGACTGCAGAAAGAAATAGTGATTTAATATCATATCAATACAGATTACATTGGTGACATTAAAAGACGTATGTTCGATATAAATTCCTCTTGAAAGCAACATCAGCTCAAGGCTTTACTTCATAAAATATGTAGGGTTGAGGTTAGGATTGCAGTTGATTTAGGTCAGGATTAGGTTAGGTTTAGATTTAGGGTTAGATCTATATTTATAAATATCAATATCTTCATAATCAATATCTTCATAATCAATATTGTTTTATAATTTATTACTCTTTCTAACTCAAGAAAAAAATTCTTTGTAATAAAATTGTCAGCAATAGATGCTTTGAAACTCCAATATCATATCCATATACAGGAGATGATTAAGAACTTATAAAAATCCCATTTCAAATTGAACTCAAGTTTCTCAATAATCTTAGTGCCATATGCATAAATTTCCATGGCAACCAAGAGAAAGGTTATTCTTTGTAATAACTTTTCAGTAATACATGTTAATACCAGTGTTGTAAAGGGAATATAGCTTCACAACTTCAATACCATATCCACATACAGGAGACAAAGAACTTATTACAATCCCATTTCAAATTGAACTCCAGTTTCTCGATGATCTTAAAGCCATAGCATAAATATCCATGGCAACTGGTGCATGGGCATCATCTTGAATGGTAAAATATCTATGTATAAAATTTGAATCAACTACTAAATAACAAAAAAAAGTGAATAAAGCACACAAAAGAAGGTAACAGTCTCCGCATGGCTCGTGTTAATAACCCCCAATTACAAGTTGCAATGGTGACATGAGCATTACTATACAAACTGCAGGAGGTTAATATGCATTAATTACATTATTGCCCCATATCAAATAATGCTGTTTATATTTGACAGTCCTAGAGTCAGCATTATTGAACCAACTCATTATAGGGGAACGTCAAGTCATCTACCTTTGAAACATACAACAATAGCACCGTTTGGTTTTTCTCCCTCATTTAAAATGACATTGCTTCCTCTCTCAAATGTACACAGCGATAAGTAATCAAGATAGTAGCTAGTCTACATGATCCATACCATGTTCATTCACAGTCCCTAACACTTCGTGTAAATAGACTAGAAGCCAGGGATGATATTCTGACAAGTGCTGGAGGTTTGGGGGTTGGGGAGGGGGGTGATGGAGGAGCACAACCAGCCAATGTCCCACCTTTTAAAACCCAATTGTGCATACCTTGACAATACAAGGAAAGAAAATATGCCCCCAGTTGTGTTTTGTGCCCCCTTTTTAAGAAGTAGACCAAACAGGTACCTTCAAAGTGTGATGTTACAGAGATTATTTGGAACTGTGCCCTTACCCCTTTTAACAAAATCCTGAATCCATCCCTGCTTACAATAATTATTTAGGTACAAACTGAAACAAGCACTTTTCATATGTGGAGATACAGCATTAAAGCCCTGAATTTTCTTTGTGGATTACATATTTCTCTGTACATGGCTTCTAATGCACAGACGCCAAACCAACAACTCCTAAAGTAATATGAATTTAATGACATTATTAAAAAAAAACTAACATGGTTATCTGATAATAACCACCCGAGACTGCATTTCTGAAGAACCATTCACTAGATTCTCACATTCAGTACCAGGTACTGTAAGACTCGTAGAGGAAGACGGCTGGTGTTTGAAGTTACAGGTTTGTGTAAATATAAACGCTACCTACTTAAAGTACCAAGGGTTTTCACACTCTATTGACAGACGAGTGTAAGGTAACACATTGCCTTCTCAAAACCAGAAGGGTATCAACTCTGATCACTTGAGATGGAGTTAATGCCCTCCTGGCTCTCAACAGACAACATTCATGTAACAAACACTGGAACATGATCAACCAGTTGGAGATGTTCTCATTTTGCTTCAAGGTGTATTTCACCAAGCATGTTCTTGCGGTGTGACACGTTAAAGCCCCTCTAAAGTGTCAGGAGCCCCTAAAATTTGATGGCAAAATTTCACTTAAATTGTATCATTATGGGAAAGAGAATGTCATTTAAGACACATTTCTGCAAAGATTTTCAAAACAAATGTGTTTAAAGTTGAATATTGAAGAAAGCATACAAAATTTAGGTTTTCTGGGTACAACAGAAAACCCAAATGTATTTATCAATACCGGTATTTGTCTTCAAACACCTTCTTCTTTTTTTCTTTTTTTTTGGGGGGGGGATCTTTGCAGATTCTATGCTACAACATATTTAATCTGCTCAAAGACAGAAGGATGTTAACTCTGTGTTAATGTATGTGAGTTAAAGCCCTTTTGGCTCCAAACAGATTTAGATTTATAATGTACCACAAACTAACTTAGAGCGTTCATAATCTTCTATATAAATCCTGTTCTGTCATCATCGTATCTACTCCGTAAGTTTCACTCTGATCCAACCTTTACAAATAATCCTTAAAATCATCAATTAAAAATGAAATGACTACAGGTGTATTACGAAAGAGTTGCCATAGCAATAGAGCTTTTTCAATTGCATTGCTTTTTAAATATCAAAGGTCTATCACTACAAATACGTCAGTGCTACATGCTGGGCATCAATTTAAGTTTGCATGAATAAAGACTCCACCCTTTTACTTTTCAATGATTTTAACAATTTTAAAACAGCGGCTAGCTTCATAACCAAGTAGTACATGTAATTTCAATAGAATGATACAATTTTAAATACCAACACACAAATGTGAAAAAAGAAGAATACAATTGGACAAGAGCCTGTGGAGTGGAATTATCTATACTCTTCAAAGATATATTTGGCTAATTTCTTTTTCAACTATATTTATTCTTCATGGTCATTTTATTTAAGTGTTTCTAAAAATAATCTGTCTTCTACAAAATTAATACAAGGATCATCGTCATGTGGTTTTCAATATATTCCACTTACAGATTTATTACCTTGGGTGTACAAGTGTGATATTTTAGATCTGTTAACTCAAAACTTATAATTTTCTCACTTTCAATGTAGGGATGTAACGAACAAGATTTTTTAATCTTTCGTTTGTCTCAAATCATTTGAAACCAAGCTTTACTTGTATTTATTGTCATTATGTTTGAAATTATCTTTTTTTGGTACTTTTACATGTATTTGTATTTCATGTGGTTTTAATTAGTGAATAAATTGAATTGAATTGAATTGAAAACCTATTTGTTAATTAAAGAGTTCTTTTGGTATTTTCTAAGGAATACAAATATTAATCCTAGCAGCCCTAGCAAGCAAGCTCAGGCTTGAGAAATTTGCGAACCACAAAAGCAAGAACAAAACAATAAGAAGAAGAACAACAACAACAACAAATTTATTAAGTTACCAGTTTCTATCCATTTCTAATACAAAGATGTAAGGGTCACACACACACACACCCACACACACATTAACATATGACTGAAGTTCTCTAAATCGCAACAAACCAAATTGGCAGATATTTCCAATAAAAAATTGTGTTACATCGTAATGTGCTCACATTCTTATCTGAATTATGAGACCAATTCACTTATAAAGTCTGCAATGCAGTTATAGAAGAAGAATGTTCTCAGTTCTATTGAGACTTTGTAACAGTGTTTTTTTATAACTATCTTGGCAAGGTTTGAGTAATTCTGAAGTTATACAGCTTTCATGATCCAAGGGTATTTCCCATTTAGAGTACATTTCATTTATTGATTAAGCAAACAATCATTCAACTTTTAAAAAATACATTTAAGTTTGACTGAAATCAAAATATAAAAAAGTGATTTGTTTGCATATCTCTGTGGTTATTGTCATCAATCCAAAGTGCTTACCACAAAATAAACAACCTCACAATTTTTGTCCGGTAAGAAATGTATGCATGATCAAAAGTCCTTGAGTAATCTGTTATTGACCGAATGTATTCATCTTTTATACTTTCTGTTATTCTTTAATCTTGAAAGCTTTCCTGTTTCAGGCCTTTAGTCAATAAAGTTTACATTGCACAATATCAAACCGAAGACTTTAATCGTATAAGCTATTCACAGACACATTTTCCCAGGCAGTGCCTCTAAATTTTATTCTTCCCGGATGCATCTATCTTTTGTAGTGTATTTGGTGTTATTGTGTTGGCTTATTTTATCATGCAGACTCGTTTTATCTCGCCTCTTCAGATCTCAATTCCTAGCCTGCGGGATGTGGTAATCTGCTCTTAAAATTCCCCTGCCTCTATGGTAAATTGAAAACCACTTCAATGGTATATGAATCGCACCTTTCTAGGACTATCCACACTAAAAAAAGGTGAATATCAAACTATGATTCTAATCTCACTGTTTTTGCATTCACACAATCATGTAATAAAGTCAATTTTCTTTATTGATCACTGAACTTTTTTATGAAACAGAAATGCATAGCGAATAATGGTGGCTCCCCCCCCAAAAAAAAATAACGAAGTTACGACTGTAATTCATGTCACAATCCAGTCCTTACAATTGGGAGAGATTTTGGAAGTCACACATTAGAAAAGAGAGATTCTGATCACGATTTTATACAAAAACAGCGATATCAAAATCCAAGCAACTACCAGTACTCAGTATATGAAAGGCCTAAAGTCTGCTCACATACGTACAGTAATATATAAGACTGATTCCACTGTTTGTAATAACGCCGAGTCGCTGACGACATGAATAAAGAGATGCATTGCTGCTGGGGAGAAAATGTTTCTAAATTTGATGACATTTTCTTATCACATTTTGCTGTCAAGCAGTTTATACAAAGTGGTTTACAACCTCTTCAGCCTGTCTGATCTTATCTAAATTAGATATGAAAACATTTTAATTCATTGTTATAACAAGAAAAATTATGTGACTGCTCCTCCTATTTATGCCTCCACCCTTAATTCAGTATAGGAAATGGATGAAATTATTCATGACATATCACAATGAAGAAAAAAAAAAGTCTTTTCAAATGTCAACTGACGATTATGGTCTTGCCCTACATGTACTGGCCCCAAAATGTAATTGGTTCATCTTCCTATACTAATAGCTGTCCCAATGTTTGAGATAGCAAGGCTATTAATTTCAGAAATTGACCTCTGACCTACTTACCTAAACCTTACCTTATATCTATGGTGATAAATACTATCACCAAGTTTGAACCCCTGTCTCTAATTGCAATAGCAAGGCTAAAACCTGTAATTTCAGAAATTAACCTCTTTGACCTTTGACCTATGTATCCAAAATCTTATCAGATCATCTTCCTATGTTGATACATACTATCATCAAGTTTGAAGTTCATAACTTAAGTGGTTCATGAGATATCGCAATAACAAGAAAGTGGGACGGACGGACGGACGTCGGACAACCCCAAAACATCTTCGGTGGGCGAAGGCATGAATAGGTTGGGCTAATTATGCATAGAAATAGTAGTTGTGACCTCTTCAAACTCTGTTAAAAAACTTTCAAAGTGGACAGCTATACTGCACATTAATTCTATGGTGATTTATTTCACCTATATCACCTTCATGTATGACACATTATTTCCTGAATAGTGATTGCCTTTACGGTATTTTTGAGATCTAGCATTGACAGAAAATCAATTTGAAAACAAACCCACACTGAATGTACGTGGGCGATGTTGGAAGAAAATGTATGATAGCAAATAAAGATAGAAGGACTGAAGGATCAAGGAAGCAATTTTGCCCACATGCATGCATAACACACAGCCTCTACATGTATGTGCATACATTTATATCGTATTCTTGGAGCCACAAGGACGTTAACTCATATACACTGAATTAAAGCTAAACTTGAGCTCTGGTATGGGCATCGTATATCTAGAGAACATGGCTATAATTCATTCTGGATTGTTTATTCTGGATTGTTTATTCTGGATTGTTTATCTTGCAGTAGATTTATTTTTGTATTGTTCAATAGAAACCTCATAAAACTTGCTGGAAATCTACTTCAATCAAAACCACAACTCTCATTTGCACATAATGACCTGTGTTATGCACATGGTGTCTGGCCTACTTAGTACCTTGATTTACTTATCTTTCTATGCTCATTACTCAGCCCCTATATATTTTTTTACCTTGAGCATTCAGTGCAAGTTTTGTTGGGTTCTGTGAGAATTTATTTTCTATCATTACCAGAACTCAAGCTTATCTTTAAAGGTACTATGTCCCTTTTGCAGCCAACCTCAAATGCTGTAGAACTTTGCAGGAATTATGAATATGTCATGTATGTCCTATCTGTGAAATTTAAACGTTAGCAGTGTCCTCATATTCAAATTATGCAAGGCTTTTTTTTTCCTTGGTGATAAGATACATGAAAAGAGTTGTAAAGGGTACATGGGCATTTGTCTACATCAATAACCAGTGAAAAAAATACACGGGGGCTAAGGGCGAATTAGCCCCCGAAATGCCAAAAAGAGCACCCGAAAGTCGTAAAAGAGCCCCGAAAAATTTGCATAGAGTTCAATGCAAAACAAATTAAAGAGTGTTATTTTCATGCAAGCAAGCTTGAAAAGTAGCCCCCGAAATTGTTTAAGTATTTTTCCCCCTGTCAATAACCCACTTCTTGCGATGGCCAAGATTAAACTGATTGAATCTTTGCGCAGCATAAAACGTATGACCATTCGGTACAATTATCTGAAAATCAAGACCATTACTTTTGGGCTCTATAGCCCTAAAGTCGATTTGACAACTAATAGTCGTTATTTACCCACTTGAAGACATTTTCAAGCCCCACCTTTTTTAGGGAAGTTCTAAATTAGTATTATCTTTCAAATGCAGTTGGAATTTAACCTTTTCATTTTTTGGCCTGCAAATGGGACATAGTACCTTTAATATATGTGTTTGATATTTAATTGGCATTTTGCCGATCAATTCAAACGTCCAATCAACTGCATGAAAAAAATGCACGATCAATTTAAGCCAGACTCTCTCAACACGACTCAAGGTTGGATGGCGCTTTGGAGTAGACATAGGATAGAAAACAAAAGTGTTCATATGGTATTGTAAACTGTAAAACAAGAAACTTCCAGATGCATGAAATGTTCGGAATTGTGAATGTCACAAATGATTCAAAATTATTAAAAACCATATCTGAACTGAAAAATAATAATAATAATAATAAATTTATATAGCGCAGCTTTTATACAAAATATATTCAGCTGCGCTGGTTAAGAGCTCCTTTTTACTAAGTTCTACAAAATGAAATGGATGAATTATATATCAACGGAAAGCTAATAAGCCGTAGATAACAATAATATCAACCGAAAGCTTATAAGCCATAGATTACAATAATATAAACTACACTGTTTATGCCATTTTAGTGTCTATCGGAGGAGTATCAGCTCTCTGAAAACTCATTAATTAAGCACGGCTCATTGCCTCAGCTACATAGGTGAACCAGTCGGGTCCACATGTTATGTCGTCACTGTAACTTTGGCAAATTTGACCCATGTTGACCCGTAATTTGGAGGGGTGTGGAAAATGACGTTTAATTTGCTTTTTTATTCCTTTATATTTGCTTTTTTATTCCTTTATATTTGTATTCTACATTCATTCAGTTTTTCATTAATATCAAGTTGTATTTTTATCGGATTGGGTATTTAAGGTTTCATGCCATAAAATAATCGATTCCCAAATGACGCTCACCACCTTTTTGCATTTCGCGAAACTTCCTGAAAGCCATAGAAATTGCCCCCTTCGCAATTTTTTCGCACAAAGTTTCTGATTTTACTGTAGAAAGGATGAAAACAGTTTAAATTAAGATTTGTCTTTGTCTTATTTATCATCTAGGATACAAACTTACAGACTTTTGCTAGAGCACCAATGGTTATCCACATGACAGCTATGAAAGTCCCTGAGACGTCGTCAAATTCCACAGACGCTATCTTATAAGATGTAACCGCACTGATGTTTAATTCATCACAGTGTTTCTGGCCGAGATCCTCTTCTTCAAAAGCATGGCTGTATGTCAGCAGGGACACCATAAACGCGGTGAGGGCGACGAAATGAACATCAGCGTTATTCCTCATGGTTACTGGCTATGTTTGATCCAACACTTCAGGTTTTATGTCTATAGGTAGAATTACAGATTATCAGCTTGGCGACTTCTAGGTAATTGAGTGTGCAAGTATGGAAGCAGCAGTAGAATACAAGATGATATCAAGGTGTATAATGATGTAGAGGCAATCTGTTCCTAAAGAGTTCAAAAGGTGGGTAACTCATTAGTATAAGATACATCACACAAATGTGACAATACTCATCTGCCAAATGTTGAGGTTTCAAGAACAACTCGGTCGTTAATCAATCACAGATGTACTCCTGTTGCTCACGACTCCCAATCAAAGACATTCAAGAACAGGGGGGGGGGGCATTTCACAAAACTTGTCATCAGTGACAAATGACGGTTTTGTTATAAGCTACTGAAATCCTTGCTTCTGATTGGTTATCAGCAGATTTGTCACTGATTTTTGTCATTTGTCATTGAAAAAAGGCTTGTGAAACAGGGCCCAGATCTCTACCTGGAGGAACATCTCTTTCCCAAAGAACAAAACTAACCAAGTCTGTGTGAAGCAAAAACCTCTCTTAGCTATAAACATCCAAGCCTTTCTGCTGCTCAAATCACCAAAACGAAAACCCTGCCACTGAACGCAGTCCACACCTATCAAAGAACAAACATTACCATCCGCGATGGTTGAACTAATCATGTCTGTAAGTCAAACTGCTCATGAAACCTCAAGATATCAACAAAGATAATGTCACAAGACACAGCATCTACCACTTCTAGGAATGAATCATCTCCTGATGAGGTTTTAAAAAATTAACATAAAAACTGATTTAGGTACATATTTGATTCCTACTTTCTACGAAACAAGGATAAGGTTTTAAATTGTTTGATATTTTCCTTCCACATTTAACAATCTCATGTCGTCATAACTGTATTTAATTCGGCATTATGTGAGATTTTGTATAACCTCAATATCTAGATTTCATTATATACTTCTTTTAAACTTCCTTTTTACTGTATCGAAAACAATAATATCTAATAACATAAAAACAGGAGGCAAGCAGGGAAAAGGGAAGCAGGCAGAGACAAGAAACAGGACATAGAAGTGCCTGGTTAGAACCACAGGTAACATCAATTACCGATAATCAAATCATCTAGTACTGTTTGTATATTTGGCCAAAATGAGAAAACAATTTCTGTTCCTTTCAAAGAGTTTCAACTTTTGGTATTTCTTGGAAGTCAATGAAAATCAATTGACGAAAGCAGGTCTGGATAACTTTTCCCTAAATCTAATTGAATCGTTTGTTTTTATTCTTGAAACATGTCTGCAGGATAAAGCTATTGTAGAGCCCAAAATTTAAATGGAGGTTTTGAAGACACAAAATAGACAAATATGATCTTTCAAGATTGAGTTGATATATGCCACCTATTCACCTTTTCTGTTTCAAAGAGTAAAAGGTACAAAGTCATGTAAATATCACGTCGATTGACAATACCATCAATAAAATTCTGATGTCAAAGGGCATCAAGGCCACTAACATTGCTGAACAATTTACAGCAGACAGCCAGACACGCTTTAACATACCAGCGTAAATGCAAACAAAATCCATTTCAACATGAGTAAGCAAGCAAACACCATAATTGCTTCTTTCGTATCAACTTCTTTAAGTCGAAGATTGACACTTGACAAAATAAAATATGAATGCCACCTTGAAGCTACAATGGAATATCTCCACACATTGGGTGTCTTGCCTTGGAATGTATCAAGACTTAAAGAAAAAGATGTTGTATTGCACTTTGTGACCGATCCAAAAATTTTGAAATCTATGGTCGGCTTAAAAAAAAAAAATGGAACCGTTTTTTAGAGAAAAAAAAATATTAAAGCATTCAAAACTAAGAAGTAATAGCTCAAAGACGGAGAAAAAACAAAACAAAAGATTTCCGACCGACCAAGCCATGTTTTGGCACCTAAAGGGCAATACAACATCTTTTTTTTTAGGCCTTATCATGGATAGTTGACCCGGCAGACATATCCCAGCTATCTCATGATGAGGTCAGAGCATGGTGACCAGACACTTGCCCCTGCAACATTTAATTTGTTCCAGCTAGGCTTCAATTTGTCAAAGTGAAGATACATGGTTAACGTTAGGGTTGCAATCGGTTTTAGGATTGGTTTTAGGATTGGTTTTAGGATTAGGGGTTAGGTACTATAATATGTAGGTATAGTGTTTTGTCTCCAGGTCGAAGTTAGGAATTCAGTTTAACAAATTAGAGAAGGAAGTCGATGGTGGAGGAATCGCTACCAGAGCATGTGTCATGAAATCAAAACCAAGCACTGTAGATAATAATAGCATATTCATAAGAATGAAAAGATGTATGGATGCCTTGGAGATTTTATTATCAAAGACAATCGGAGCAGCAAATATTCCAACCTTCAGAATATCTTGAAGATTTGGACCACAACGGCTGTAAAGCGAGTACTGCGTAAAGTAAACAAAAATTCCATATCCACACTAAACAAGCTAGGAAACATTCAATATGCTGTCAAAATAGAGTACAGAACCTTTAACACTCTTCCCACTCCGACGAGATGCTTCGCGTGTTAACCATTTAGTCTGCGCTTCCCGCCGACAAATTGATAATCAAAGCAGGCCGGCACAGTGTCAGATAAATCATCATCATCCATGCACGCAAAGAGGCCCGGGTAATGATATGCCAGAGAGATGCAGAGAGGCAAGAGAAATGAATTCATAGATAACACTTTGTAGGTAACAACATAGTTTTATTGGACGGCTACTCGTATCAGTGCAGGAGGCATCAGAGGTGAGAGACTCACGGTGAAAGATCCATCTGTAAATTACAAATGCGAGCAATCCTGCTTTATAATTATAGTCAACGAACGCAATCAAAACAAAAATCGCTGTGTGGTTGTATCCAATCCTCCGCCTGCATAAAGTATAAATCACTCATCAGGACTTCAGTGAGATACAGGATTCAATAATCCTTCTTGAACAGATGAGCGAAATTCGATCACAGTGGCAGTCATATATACCCTGCAGCAAGGCAGAAATCCTGGAATACTGTATCAAGAGCTCTTGACGCCTCGACACACAAATGTCAAAGGCTAAACGATAACGTGCAATATTTTAGAAAAAACGTCTACCGGTATATGCAGGTTAAATCTAATACATTATAGCAATCAACCCATTAGACAATCCACATACAAGGCATTCCTGCTCTCCCGGTAAGCACTAAGGTGTCTCAGCTCGATCAGCCTTGTGAATGGCTTACCGTAATTAAATGCTCTACCTTCGCTCCACGAGTCCAAATTTATATCCATCTCAAGAGTTGGACGAATTTGTAACGAGAGGCAGCGCTTGCAATCGTCAAAGCCATTAGGAGGGTAGGGGTAATATAGAGGTACACATCATGGGGGCATAGGAGGAAGGAGGGGGGAATTGAAGAAATGTAATCAAATGCTTACTGATGACAGATGATCAAAATTCATTATAGCACATCCTATTCATATGGGGGGGGGGGGTCATGAGGGATAGAACCCAAATGTATCATAAATCAAAGTGGAAAAACTGAACTGGATAGAATAATTTATTACAACCAACTCATTCACAATGTGAAAAAATGAATATTGTACAGAATGCAACACTAAATACCAAACTGCAGTACATTGTGAAATATGAATAGTATAGCTGTTAATAGAAACCAATTTATATGTGTATATGTTCATAAGTGTTAATATTGGAATAATGTACTTTATTATATATTCATTATTATGGTAGATTGAGTCAAAGAAAAGAAAATCTTCAGAAGAAAGTCTAACCTGGGTCTTTCTGTATACTGGTATTTTGGTCGATGTTACCTTTTTTCACTACTGTAGTCTACTTTAGATAAGGATAAGAAAGATTTTCTTTGGGGAGGGGATAGTGCCCCACTTATCCCTTAAGATTCCCCCCATATTCTTACCCAATATTGACACAGTGAGGAGGAAACATGTAGCCTTCATAGGCTCAACATAAAAGATACAAGGGTTACAATCACTAAATAGCATGCTCACAAAACAAATAGACATTCAGATTTTAGCCAAGATAGTGGTTGTTTTTGTTTTCTTTTCTTTTTAGTTAAAAAATAGAATCTTAAAGGGATACATGTACATTGTGTATTTAGCTATTTTTACTGCCTATGCGGTGCTTAAATAGTCCTTTAAACGAGAAGAATAGCTCAGTAGTAGCACTTGGTTTCTCCAAAATCATAATAAATTATAATTATATGTAAGCTAATGGATTTAAAAAATATAAAAAATGAGTGGGAAATAAGATTTCAAACATACCACTTAAAGGAAGTAAATCCTTTGAATAAAGAAGTTACTGATCAAGACAATTGTAATACCAGTATTTGAAAGGAAACAAAATGTATACTGCCCTGATCTTTCTTGTATTTCATTTCAAAATTTACCCTTTGGAGCAATTGATCTATAAGATATTTTTAAAGATGAACATATACATACATTTTAAATACAAAGTACTTTTTTAAAATAATTTCCATGACATATCACCAAGAACTGTTTTTATTTTGAGATCACACTTATTTGTTATTCTGTGATATCCTTGGAATAAAAGTGGAATAAGTGTCTGGCACCCCCCCCCCCCCCATTGTTATAAATCAGAGGTAACAATGGCTGCCTGATGGGAGGCATAACTATAAATGTTATCATCTGATTTGCTTTTCAATCACACACAGATTGCAGACCATACACTCAATCTCAAATACAAGGAGTACAGACAAGTTCCTTTTTTCCTATTTTTTTCTTCTTCAAACTGCAATTGTGACATCTTTCCAATATACGTTTTGAGCCCCCGCTCCCAAGGATGAGTGGAAGAGAGTTTGCCTAGGTCAAATGCAAAATCATTCCTGGTTGAAGGATTTACTTTGATTGGCTTTTCAATTTTTCATTCTTATGCGCATCATGCAGTTAATCTTACACCCTGGAAGCACAGACAAATTCTTTCCGCTATTCTTCTTAAAGTGATCGTTTAACAATGTTAAATCTGAGATGCACGGCCCTACGTGTTATCAGTGTCTGTGATATGATGATATATTGAAGCCCTAAAATAATTGTGCTTCAATATTATTAAGAAGTGCCTCAAAAAAATGCAAAACTTTGAGTGACCGGTTTTACCATACTCATTTTCCCCATTAGACTGTAGTGTTATGAAAACTGTTTGGCAAATGCAAAATTTGATTTCGATTTTCCATCATGAATATCTTGATAATCAGACAGGCGATAGGCTTTTAAAAGTACATGGGGTTCCTGACTGGCCTAAAGGTTTAT